AGGCTGCTCCCAGTGCTGGGACAATCCCAAGCTCCAGAGACAGGGGCTGTGCCAAGCTACATGGGTGCACATGTGTGGGGTGTGTGTGTGCACATGTGTGTGAGCACAAGGAGGGGGGACAGCCCTGGCCCTGACCCTTCTGCCTCCCCCGCAGCCCGGGGGGGCCCCAGCACCCCTGGGGAGGCCCATGGCCGGCGCTCCCCATCCTGCCCCCCATCCCGCTCCCATCCCGGCCAAGCCGTGAGATCATGGTGGAAACTTGGGAGCTGGTGGCCAGCGGCCGGGCGGGGGGAGTGGGAATGGGGGGAGCCGCGATGGAGGGAGCCAGGATGGAGGAGCTGGGATGGAGGAGCAGCTGCCCCTCACCGTGTGGGCCCGCTCCCCACGTCTGTGTGTGCCAGAGCAGCCGTGGCATGGCTCGGCACGGCTCAGCACGGCTCGGCACGCGTGGCGTGGCGCAAAGCGCAGGCTGGCTGCCCGCCCGGCCGGGGCAGGAAGCGATGCTTTGCTCTCTAAGCCGGCCCACGCTCCCCGGCTAATCCCACCGGGATGCCTCTGGGATGAGTGTCGGGATGTGGTTTCAGGCAGCTTCGCTCCTTCCTCCGTGGCGAGGCCGAGCCGGGCAGGGCCGCGTGGGCCGGGGGCACGGCCGCATCCCACCCACATCCCTGAGAACCGGACACGCACCGGGATGGGTGGGCACATCCCGCTGTGCCAACATGTCCCAGGGGATCCCTGCCTGGTGCTGCCCACACAAACCCACCCTGCACACCACAGCCCCGGCCGTACCGTGGGACCCCGTGCAGGCGTGGAGCCGGCAGCGTGCCGGGCGGGAAGCCGAGGTTTCCAGAATGAGACTTTTCTGGAAGCTGAGAAACGGGCTGGAAAAAAATACCTCCTCACCCCACCCCGATGGCGGCGGGGCCGGGGTGTCCCGGGAGGGTTGTGGGGCCGCCGCTCCCCACCGCCCACCCGCTGACTCACGGGTCCCCTGGCGCGCTGGCCCCGTGGCCAGCACTGCCAATCCCACATTCCCGCTCGATCCCACATTCCCGCTCGCCGTGGCCCCCTGCACACTCATGTTCTGCCACGCTCAGCACTGAGCAGGAGCAGGGAGCAGCTCCCTGGTTCTGCCCCTCCAGCCACGGTGATGGCAGCACAGGACAGGGACGGGTCCCCGAGGCTGTGCACAGCTCGTGTCACCGGTGAGCCGGAGCAGCCCATGCTGCCGGTCCCCGAGACCGGGCACAACTCTTGTCACCGGTGAGCCGGAGCAGCCCATGCTGCCGGTCCCCGAGACCGGGCACAACTCGTGTCACCGGTGAGCCGGCAGTGCGGTGACTCCTCCCCGCGCCGGGACGGGCACAGCACTGTGGGGCGGGCTGCCAGCACGGGACAGATGGGCTGCGGGGTCCCAGCCCGGCCCCCCTGCCGCCCCCCGGCAGCGTCACCCTGGGAACTCCCTGGCTGGGCTCCCCGAGGCCGGTGCTGTGACTCAGCCCCGCCGGCATCGCTCCCGGCTCCGGCACGAAATTTCCCTTGGCTCTGAATCCGCAGAGGGTCACACGTGTGACAAGTGTGCCAGGTCTCAGCACGGCCACACCAATGGCGCTGAGAGGGGCGGGGGGCATTGGGGAGACTCAGAAGGGGGCAACAAGAGGTGCTCCCTTCCCTCCAGCTGCTCCTCGCCCCCTCTCCAAGTGCAGCACAGATGGGAATGTGTTGGGAAGGCAGAAAGTTTCAGGGCCAGCATATGGAGAGGGGGCTGTGGTCCTTGGGGGGGTTCAGCCCACGGCTCCTCTGGGATCCCCAAGGCAGTGACAGACCCAGGACGGTGGCGGGGGGGACGTGCATAGGGTTGGGTTTCTCCCTTGGCTATTTTGGGGCTGGAACATTCCTAGTGGAGCTGAGGTGACGGGCAGAGGGCCGGGAGCTGGCTGCAGCCCTGGCAGGGACAACCCGGACCCCCCCCGACTGGGTAGGGGGTGATGAGCAGCCCCCCACGTGCTTCACAACCCACACGGCCCCTTTAAAAATTTGGCAAACAGGGAATAAATGGGTTCTGACTCCCTCGGTGCTGTAATTCCAACTGAATCCATATTGTTACAGCACTAAATGAACGCTGCAATGGTGAAATGCTGCCGAACATGCCCGAGGGGCCAGGAGGGTGATCCCAGTGTTGTGTGATGGGTTATCCCCTCTGGAATGCCACTGGCAGCTGTGCTGGCCACAGCCACTGCACACTTAAGTGCTCACACACTCACTGGGGCCACATGTGCAAAGGACTCACGAGGGTGGTGGACAGTCCTGGCACAGCTGGGAAACACTGCTGGCACACACCACTGGCACAGCTGGCACATGCATGTGCTCAGTGCACGCTCCCTGCACGCATGACTTAAACACTCTTGAGCATGAGCATGATTTGCACACCCATGGCACAACCTGACACACACGTGCCTTGGAAGACCGTTGTTGGAGCACAGGGAAGCCAGGGAGTGTCCAGTCCCGGGGGTCCTGATGTCCCACCCCACTCCTGATGTCATATGAATGCCATGCACATGGACCCTTCCCAGGAACCCTCCAAAATGTGGGTCCATGGGTGCCCTGTGCAGTTCCTGTGAGCCTCACACATGTGGGTCCTGGTGGAGGGAGGACTTGTCCACCCCCACGTTCCTCAGGGCTGGGGGGCCCCAGCACGAGGCAGGGTCAGAACCGGCCCTGGAGTGATGCTGTGGGGCAGGCAGAGCACAGGCAGAGCTGGGGGTCCCGAGGAGCCGGGGGCACCCAGAGTGGCCCCAAAATTATACGTGGAGCCCATCCCCACTGTTCCCCGAGCAGTGCCAAGGGCTGGTGGGAGCTGCCCGTCCCCCAAGGCCTGACACGTAGCAACATCTCTGCCTAGATCCAGCTCATGACTAAGGAACAGTGGAGGCACTCAGGGATGACTCCATGAGAGCCGGGGTAATTCCGCGGGCTCTGGGTTTCTGCACATCCCACTGCTCCCACCGGCCATGCTCGGCCCCTGCGCCCCACGGCTACCAAGGAGTAGCCCAGTTAATCTCCAGATCTGGTTTAACTTTGACACTTACTTTGGCAATGCGCCGCACAGGGGGTTGGGGGGAGCGGGGAGCCCCTGCGCCGGAGCTGCAGCGCGGCCTCCAGCCCCTTGTCTGATCCCGTCTCCAGGGAAGCAGCGATGCAGAGCGGCTGCAGCACTGGCACCTGGCCCTGTGTCACCACCCAGCCAGGGGCACCGTCCCCACCTGCATCCCACCATCACCACCTGAATCCCCCCTCAAAGCCGTGCCAGGAACTGCACAGCACCCAGCCTGCGGCACGGTCCAAGGGGGGGACAGGTTTGGGAGCATATCCAGCTGCTGGGATGCACCCTGGGATGCACCGGGACCTGCACTGTCATGGCCAGGCTGTGCGCCAGCACCAGGATGAACACCAACACTGCCACTGCCAGGATGCGGGGCAGCACTGGGACGCACACCGGGATGCACACACACACCCCAAGGGTCAAGCCGCACACCACACCGGCACGGCCACACTGCTCCTGGCTGAGGGCTCGGCCACGGTGACACAGTCTAACACAGTCACAACTCTCCACTAGTCCACAAAAACATCCCAAAGGCAAAAACTGCGGCCAGGCCCCAGCGTGCCTCGCACAGGCCTCTGCCACAGTTTCCCACCCTCCGTTTGTGGCAGAGGCACCGGGACCCCCGGCCCAGCTCAGCATGGCGTGTGCCGCGGCAGTGGGACCCGCTACAGTTGGGGTGCAGGGGCTGCACCGTGCCTGGGTGGGCTCCGGTGGCTCCGGGGGTCTCCACGCCCCCCTCCCCGGGCGGTGCCGGTGCCAAACCCGACGCCAGTCGGAGCGCTCGGTTCCACGAACGCGCGGCCCTGAGTTACAGCTTTAATAAAATCAAGGAAAACAGTTTTATCTCCCGTTCCCAGGGCGGCCGCCGGGCCCGGCAAAGGCTCCTGGGAGGTGTAGTCCGGCCCCACGCCGGGAGCCATTTGGGGGAGCGCGGCCGGAGCCCCGCCGTGCCCGCCGGGTGCCGCGTGCCGCACCGGCATCGCCCCGCCACGGCCAACCGCGGGCTGGCTCCGTGCGCTGGGTGGGGTAATTATCAATCATCGGCGTTAATTACCGCGCCACGCTACCACGGCTGCCGGCACCGCGGCCGGGCCACGCCGGGAGGACTCGGGGTGCCGGGGATGGGGACCCCGCTCCCGCCGGCACCGTGCCGGCCACTAAATTATCCGGTTTATCCGCCCCAGCAGCGTTCCGGCCGCGCGGAGCCTCAGAGCGCAGCTCGCTGGGAAGCGCTCCGGCTGCGCCGGCCCTGCCAAAGCCGGAATATTTTTAGCTCGTTCTGTTGTTGGGTTTGGCTTCTCTGTTTTTTTTTTTTTTTTTCTTTTTTTTTTTTTTTTTTTTTTTTTTTTTTTTTTTTTTTTTTTTTTTTTTTTTTTTTTTTTTTTTTTTTTTTTTTTTTTTCGGCGCGTTTCTGCCGGGGTATTTTTAGCCGGATCCATGTTATTTTAACAACCTCCGGTGCATTCGGGCTCCCATGTGTCGCCCAGGCCCCGGCGGGTGTGAGGGTCCTGCACGGGGACGCGGCCGCGGCGGGAAGCCGGAGGGAAGGCAGCAGCACCCCGGCGCTGGCGTCCCTCCGGGATCCCCCCTACGGTCACCGCGAGCCGGAGAGCAGCCGAGCCCTCATCCCGGGGCCGGGCTCCAAACCCCCATCCGCACTCCTCACCCAACAAAGCTGGGGAAAGGCAGGGTGGCCCCCCGAGCCCGGCGGTGGTCCCGGCAGCGGGGCCGCCGGCACAAAGCGAAACCGCCCCGGCCGCGGGCCCGATCCGGCGCCGCCTCCCCGGCACCCCCCGGTGCCCCCCGCTTTCCACCTCCTTCCAAGAACCCCCACGGCTGCCACCCCCCCGCGCCGGCCCGGCCGTGCCCCCCGCCCTAATCCACGCACTAATTGTAATCCCATTAAAGCAGATATAATTTTATTAGTATTCACAGCTCATCAAGGCGGCGACAATAACCGGCGCTGCCGCCGTGCCGCGGCCAGACAACCGCCTGCGCCGGCGGGAAGCGGGGGGCCCGGCGCTGCGCCGCGCCGAGCCGGCACACGGCTCCCGCTCCGGCTCCATCCCGGAGCTCGGCAGCGCAGGGGGCTCCCCGCCGGCTGCGCCCTCCAAGCCCCCGTGCAGCGAAGCCCGGTACGGGCGCCGCGCAGCCCGGCTCAGCCCTGCCCGGCCGCAGCCGAGCACATGCCGCAGACAAAGCCGCGCGGGCAGCTCGCCGCGGATGCCGGATCCGGTGACCCCGCGCCGGTGCTGGTTGGCCGTGCCGAGCTCGGCCGTGTGCCGCGCTTTGTCCAGCTCCGGCAGCTGCCGCGGCGAACACGCGCCGCGAACCCCTTCGCACCCTGACACTTCGGCGCCGAATATCGAGCCCGGGCTCGGTGACCTTCCACCGCCGCCCCACGGCCCCGCGCATAACGGCCTCCTTGTTCGCCCCGAACGCGCCTCCTTGTCCCGGCTCCGGGATCTCGCCGGCGCAGCCCGGGGTCACGCTCCTCCCGCGCCGGCGGAGCGGCTGCGTGGGGGGATGTCCCCCGTGTGCGTGAGCCCTCACCCCAAAACCAGCGGCGCGGTGACAGCGAGGTCGGCACAAAGGGAGGCCGGGCTCCCGGGGCCGTGCCGAGCTCCCGGGGCCGTGCCGAGCCTCCCAGCCCTTCCCGGCCCCCCACACCGCGGGCGCCCCGACCCCTCTGACCTGTGTGCGTGGCCATGGAGATGGGCGCCGGGAAGTACTTGGTGGGCTGGAAGTGTCCGGGGGGCTGCACGGCCCCGTGCGCCGACCCCGCCACGCGCCCCGTGCCGTGCCGGTGGCCCAGGCTGCCCCGCTCCGACAGCAGCCGCGGCGGGGGCGCGAAGTCACGGCCGTCCATGCCGGGGGCACCCACCCGCGGGGGGCTCGGCGGGACCCCGACACGGCTCGTGGGCGATGCTCAGCGCCGCGCCGGGCCGGCTCGGCGGGCGTCGTGCCGCGCTCCGCGCCGGGGCTGTCGGTTCATCCTCCGCTCCTGGCACGGGGAGAGAAAGGAGAGAGTGAGAGCACGGCCAGGGTGGGAGCACGGCCATCGCTGCACCCCAGAGCCCCCGCGGCCCAGCACTCCGCTCCCCGTTTCCCCGGTACACAGCCCGCTTTCTCCGCCGTTCGCAGGGCCCCGCGTTCCCTGGTACCACCGGCGCACGGCCGCCGCTCTCTGCCGTCCCCGGAGCACGGCCTCCCCTTTTCCCAGTACTCCCAGTTCACGATCCCCAGTTTCCTCAGCGCACAGCCCCCCCCCGCTCCATGTTCCCGGTGCTCCCGGAGCGCAGCTCCCCCGCTATCCAGTGCTCCCGGTTCCCAATCCCGGTTGCCCGGAGCCCGGGCCCGGTTCCCGCCGCTCCGACCCTTTCTGGCCGCTGCTCGGGTTCCGGTTTCCCGGCGCTCGGTTCTTTTATCACTCCCGGTTCACCGACCGTATCTCCCTGGGGCTCGGCCCCGCTCGCCCTCGACTTCCCCGCTTCCCGTTGTCTCCCCGGTGCTCAGCGCCTCCCTCGCCGCGGTTCCCCGGTTTCCTTCCTTCCCTCGCCCCGGTTCCTCGGTGTTTCCCCGTCTTCCCTCCAGCCCGGTTCCCCCAGCCCCGCTTCCCCGATATCACCCGCTGTCCCGACCCTCCTCGCCCCGGTTCTCCAGTCCGTCCCCGGCGCCCTGCCCCGGTTTCCCGGTATTTCCCCGGTCTCCCGGCCGCGGTTCCCGGTCTCTGCCGGTGCCCGGCCGCGGCTCCCGCCCGCCGGGTCATTGTTCTGGCAGCGCCGGGGCCGGGGGGCCCGATCCGGCGGGGGGAGCCGGGCACGGGCCGGGCGGCGGCGAACAAAGGGGCGCGGGGCGGCGAGCGCGGCCGGGGGCGCGGGGGGCCCGGCCGGGACCGCGGGGACCGGGGGGAGCGCCGGGGCGAGCCCCGGGGGAAGGAACACGGGCCGGGAACAAAACGTGTATTTCCTTTAAATAAAGCTGAGCAAAATATGTGAAAAAGGATGTTTTGCCTTTTGTTTTTTTTTTTTTTAATTTGAGATTTAAAAAAAAATGTAAAGCGAAAAAATTAATGGGATATAATTGAAAGGGAAAAATATTTAAAGCAAAAAATTGAAGACAAAAAGGGCTCGATGCGAAAATGTTTGAAGGCGCAAACGGTTTAATGAAGCAGCGTTTGATGAGCAAATGATTTAATGAACAAATGTTTTCACGCACAAAATTTTAATGAACAAAATTTTAAGGCGAAGCGTTTTGAAGAGAAGAGTTTTAAGGGGAAAATGTTTTACTATATAGATGAAAGGGAAAATATCTTTTAATGGGAAAAGATGAAGGGGAAAATATTTTGGTGGAAAGAAATACAGGGGAAAATATTTCGGGGGAAAAAGATTAAGAGAAAAAAATATTTTTGTACGAAAAAGATGAACGTAGAAAAAATTTTGATGCCGGAAAGATGCAAATAAATATTTAGGAGCAAACAAATAAAGCGAAAAGATAAATAATAAGGTAAAAGCGCGCAAAAAAAAAAAAAA